AGGTAGGACCAGGAAGAAGACATGGACGCCCTCAGGACCACAGAGGGAGATACACCTGAGTGATTCCTCCATCACTTTCTCCTGAGGTTTTCCATTCAAGGCAGGCAGCTCCACCAGAGAAACCCAACGTCCACACACCTCTCCCTGATGTTTAACACACTCTGATGAGTTGGAGACTGGATGAAGCTCTGTCTGACCTAAAATGGCCTTGGCTGCTGAAGTCTTCCCTGCTCCTGTCCTCCCACACAGAACCAGGTTTAGAGATGGTTTCATGTGGTCACACTTTGGTGTCATGATCAAACCCTCATCCTCAAATACGTCACATCTCACATGCTCTCCATTGTTCTCCTTTACAATTTGACCCAAACGTGTGAACAGCTCTGGACGTTCAAGGTTCTTCTGGTTCAGGTATCTGTATCTACACATTCTGATCAGGTCTTTTAAAGGCTGGTCTTTGTACATGCAAGCTGAACTCTCCTCTCCAGATGTTGATATCAGTATCAATGAATGATCAAATGATTGATCACCGAAGAGATTCAGGACTCTGCAGAGCTTCACTTTGAGTTCCTCAGTGAAGTCTTCAGGCTGTAGAACCAGCAGGAACACATGAGGTCCAGGATCAGAGAGACTCACACAGTGTTCTACATCTTGTCTTACTTTGTGTTGGAAGATGTTGGGAAGCAGCAGGTCTGGAGTGTTGATGACGACTACTTGTTTCTCCTTTAACTGTCCTCTGACTCTCAGACAGTGATCTGGTTCTTCCTCAGTGTTGAACTTAGTCTCTCTCAGTATGAAGTTCCCCACTGAACTCCTCTCAGACCAGCTGTTCCCCAGCAGAACAACCCTCAGCTCAGACACTGAGAAGACAAACTGAATTAGTAAAAAACTACTTTTCAAATTCAAGAACCAACATGAAAACAATAAAACTAGAAAGATTAAAGGTGGACTAGAGTGAATGTGTCAGCTGTTATAATCTATAAACTTGAACATTAACCAGTGACCATCAGCTGTAAACACTGGAATCACATTATAATGAACACAAGAATGTTTCTGACTCAGTTCAGCTTAACTCACTGTTAGGAGGCAGGAGTTCATAGCTGCTGCTTCTCTTCACAGGCTGCAGATCATCTGAGACTGTAAGAATACAGAACGTTGATTCATTCACACATTATTAATTAAAGAGACACTGTTTCAGGAACGATGACTGGCTGTTGATTCTTTTGTTTTCTTGATTTTACATGTTTACTAGAGAGAGAGAACAGACAGAACTCAGATTAAAGCAACACAAGGAGAAGACTGAAGAACAACATGGTGCATCTGAGAACATTTGAGTTCAGATTAACCAGAACTGATAAAACAATATGAAGGTTCACTACACCAAGAGCTCTGCAGCAACCCTGAGAAATGATATTCAATTGATTAATATATATATATTTGAAGTTTTTGAAGGCGTCCTGAATTAAGTCAAATGTTAAATTCTGTTACTTTAACTAATTATTGTGTTTGATAACTGAAGCTGAGTGCCGTCACTTCCCTTCACCTTTTTACACCAATTCATGGGTCTATGGTTCATAATTGTTTGTTATTCATTATATATTTATTAATTATTACTTACAGTATTAAATCTGTTACTAGAAACAAGGCTTCACTCATGTCTCATTGATATTAGTTCATGAATCAATGCTGTTGGTCACCTTTATGTGTCTCTGTGAGTATTACAAATATTAACCAATGAAAATGATTAAACAGCTCGTGTACTCTATGAGGTGCCGTGAACACTGAGAAGACAAAGTTTATAATGAAATGAAGGCCTGGTAGAACAGCTGGTTTAATTCCCTGCAGTGTTGGAGACGTTCTCTTCAAAGGGAATACGACTAAAAGTCTTCCTCACAGACAAGATGAGCAACGTCAACTCCTTAAAACTGGAGTCAGTGTTTAAGGATAAGACTGCTGATATCTTATCATTGTCATCAGATCAACAACAAAGAGATTCTTTTAAGAAGTAGCTCCATCAGAAGCCTGATGTACATAAATACGGGCTGTAGGTAGAAGTGTCTTATCTGTCTTAGTGAGATCTTTTTGAACCTCTTTAAATGTTTGATAAATGTCAATAAAAATGAACGTTACAACAAAACGTTTCAACAAAAATACTTTTTGTGTTGTTTGTTCTGTGATGTCATCAGCTGCTCCATCAACACAACCGAGACTTTAGAGAAAAAGCAAAGAGGAAAATCCACCAGCCATGAAGTCATTTTTATGAATCTGAAGAAAGAGAAAGATAATTTAGCACCTGGTTCTGTAAGGAAAACCTAAATCTGAGGCAGCGAGAGCTCTCAGTTCTGTGGGCGAGGTTTGTCACTTTGAGGTTGGATGGAGCTCAAATTGTAGCGACCTACAGCGAGTCGATCACACGGAAGACATGGAGAACTTGTAATGTCCCACTTTCCTTCTGTGAATCTTAAGCTGAGTTTGAGCTTTGTACTTTGTAGTACTCTTGAATCTGGGAGCTTGATCACTGCAGACTTTACAGGTGGTTCCCTCAGTCTGTCACACGTTGGAGATTCATTCTGATTCGATCCAGTTTCACTTACGGTCAGGAGGCAGGAAGTCATAGCTGCTGCGCCTCACACGCACATGCTTTGGTATACTACAAGGACAGACATGTATGTAGGCCGGGTTATGATGATGTAATAACTACTTTAACGTGTCTCTCTCTACAGCAATGCCAACAGGTAACCGTTAAACCAGTTGAGGGATGTGGTCTATAGGTTCACTAAGTCTTTCACCATCTTTATTGAACATAACAATAATCAGTCACACTCTACCAGCTGAATGTGTGAAACAGAGCTCAATGAGAGAGACAGAGTTTGTGCATGTTAGTTATTTAAAGCTTGACTTTACTCACCAGATGTTTCAGCCATGCTGTCTCTCCAGAGAACCTCAGAGAGACATTCAACCACGGGAGGAGCGGCTCACTGAGGAACAAAATACAAACACATTCAAACATCTACTCTCCTGAAGGAGCAGGAGAGAAACCTTTAAGATGTGTAACAATATGTTCCTTAATGTACATGAGAGGCTATTCAGATAACAGTAAATATAAAGTAACGTCTCATTTATTCATGTTACACTTTACATTTTAGAATATTGGAACATTTAAAAAATGAAAACATGTTTGACAGAAACAGAAGATGGTGCGTTCTGTATGTAACAGTTTGAGATGAATCAGTAATCGTTGTATTTGTGTTGTCGCTGAAATCTGAAGTCGGGTTTCTTTGTACCTTCGTCTTCATCACTTATGAACCAGAAGAACAACTCCAGTAGAAGGATTCAATAAAAACATCTTTTTTAATT